ACAGCAACAAAAGTAACAACTACTACGACGTACGAAACTATACAGTCAAGCAGTAAAGCCCATTTTCCACTAGGCGAATTTGTTCGTGCGAACAGTAAAAAAGTAGGACTGATCCAACTTTTTCGCGGCGAATTTTTTCGCTGACCAATCACATTGCCAAGATTTGTTTTTCGCATCACTTCACGCGAACAAATTCGCCTAGTGGAAAGTGGGTTTAAAACAAGAGCAACTTATCGCAGATACATGTACGCTTAGCGTACCTAATTTTAGTGTACACATAATTTTCCACAGATATTTTTCCAGGATTACATTAACTATATCGCATTTCTATAGAACTCGTATCGGAACTGTTCGTATTCTCCCGGATGTACTGGTACCAGCTTATCCCAGGAATGCGTTAGCGGAATGCGTGAGGTCAAGTCGTTTGGTGACAAATCATTTACAAGCCAGTAGAAAACTCAAAGAATGTTCGCGAAGGAAGGTTGGCTTTTGTTTTAAATGTTTCTGTCTGCGCGGTTAATACAAAGCTAGCAAGGAATGTGCTGAAATTTCGTATTTAGACCTCGATTTAAAGAATAACACTATGGTTTTACTGATCTGATAACTTGTTTAGCGATACGGTCCATTAGAAAACAAATTAGCTGGGAAAATGGTATTAAAACTGTTTACAACCTTCATACTGTAGCTATATTGCACGTCAATTTCTACCATCTTGGCTTCACTTTTCTCCGACTGAAGTTCTTGCTCCAGATATATAGAGCTCACTGGCTACAACGTGCTCACATTTACATAACTAGAATAATAATATCAAACAAAAAGGGATGCTTCTAGTTGCATTCAGCATAACTTAAGGTGGCTCGATATAGTTATTTAAAAATGGAAAATTCACGATTTAGATCCGTATTTTTGGACAATTATTACTTGTTGAAAAACAAAAAGTATCTTGTCGATGTGAAACAACACCTAAAGATTTTACAAACCTTTTACAAAAGTTACGCAACTGCCGTTGCTATGACAACATGGCGGAAATTTTGCCTTTAAAGTAATTTGTCTCGTAAACGACATCGGTGACCCCAATTTTTATTGCATAAAATGGTTTCTTTTGATATAGTCAATTATTTTGACAATTTAAAAAATATTCCGTTGAGCCTAGAAATTGATGAATGAGCCAAAAAGAATTTTTTTAAATTGTCAAACTGATAATTGAGTATACTGAAAGAAATCATTTTGTGAAATAAAAATTCAGGTAAGAGCCTGGGTACGAGGTTGATAAAAATTGGGGGTCACCGATGTCGTCTACGAGTTCAATTACTCTAAAGACAAAATTTCCGCTATCTTGAAACGTTATTTTTGCCATAGCAACGGCAGTTGCTATGTAATAGGTGTTGCTTTAATAATAGGTGTTGTTTTACATCAATAAGATACTTTTTGTTTTTCAACAAGTAATAATTCTCCAAAATTACGGATCTAAATCGTGAATTTTCCATTTTTACTAATAACTATATCGAGCCACCTTAATTCATTTAACAACTGTTATGACTTTCGTTAAATATTCCGTACCATCACGCGTGTGCGCCTTCAAGGGGCTTATTAGCGACATTACTGTTTATATATTTCCTGGACAGCTGTATCAGTTCTGTCCAAACTGTTCTGTCTAGGAGTCAGTAAGAACCGTCCATTTTTTATCCAGTTCTTATAAAACCGGAAATCGTGTACCCAGAGAAAATCCGCAGCGTTTGGTGGAGTCAAACTGTAAGCAGTTATGATCAGACAACTTGGTGCAAAACGTCGATCACAGAGGTGAAAGACACAAACACTGTCCTACTAACATCCCAGTCATAGGTATATAGCATTAACATGCTGTAAAGCTCGATATATCATTGCATAACGAAAACCTTACCATAAGACACGTAGCTTTCCCGCACAGTTAATATCGGACTGTTTTTACGTTGCTTAGGTCGTTCCAAGTTGTTCAGCGTGGTCATCCTGGGTATACGAGCTATATAACCCGGTAAGCGAAATGTCGAAACCCGCTTGGACGCACTTCAATAAATTTCATGTTAATGCTATGCTATAGTCGATATATTAAACTTTGAGGTTTTGGTACAGTATACCCTCCTTATATAGTAATATGGTTTTCCCACGATGCACTATGGTCATCACGCACGGTTATTTTAGCATTTCAGAACAAATTTATGAAATTGATGCTCCACAAACGTTTAAAGCGTCATTCGTGTCGCCCTTGTCCCATCTTTATGTAAAAATGTGTTCACTTGTCAGTAATTTGTAAACAATACTGTATTTTCCATATGGTTACCCATAATGGAGAAGCCATGGGGCTAACCTTTGAAATTTGACAATGATTGTAAATGAAATGTATAAATATGCGCGCAACCTGGGGTTGGGCTTCATGCTAAAAAGGCGTGGAGCGTAACATGTGCCAGCTCACTGTGCCAAGTGCAATTTGCCAGGTGGATATAGGTCGCCAGTTTACTTCAAACACAGTTTGGGAAATCCCACCCTTAAATTCGGGAATCGCTTAATTTCAATGGAGTAACTTGGTGTGATTGGTCGAAACCAGGGGGCAAATGGGTGATCAGGTCAATACTCGAAATTGTTACATGACTGAATCCAAGTAATTGTAAATGTTTGGTAAACTGCTGCCTCCCACCTTTTGCACCTAACCATCCACACGGGTAAGTTACAGTATGTTACTGTAGGTGTTAATTTTATACCAAGTGTCAAAGTTCATTACTAGTTTCCTGCATCTTACTGGACAAGAGGATATCACGAGAAAGTCATGAAATTCAACTGTCAAGTTGGCAACAGCTATTAGCGAATTTCTCTATTTTTCCCCGTTTTTGTTTTCTTTAGCACTTGGTATATAATAAAATACTTGGTTGCGCCTCGGCCTCAGGGTATGAGATTGACTTGATCATGAACAAAGGTCAGTGGCGTGTCTGCTGTGTGTATGTCTATCTAATATTTAATTTTTTTGCAGTATTTATTGGTAGCGAAAATAAAGCGAGAATTAAAAAGTTGGAATAACAATCTGAAAACGGACATGCTACCAACTGAAGCCACTGAATTTTCTTATTGGGTAACACATAATTTACCTCTGGATAACGATCGACGTGATAGTTTGTTAAAGATGGACTGTCCAATACAACGTCTGCAGAAACAGTTGGAAATTATGCAAAAGGTGTGTTTTGTACTTTACCACAAGGGGAAAGAGTCTGGGAACGGGGTTGACGAACTCTAATGCTGCTAACCTGCGATCAGGCGTTCGAGGGTCTGATCACAGGTTATAAGGCTGCCGGATAATCTGACAGATACTATCGTCGTGTTGTTATTGTCGTATATATCGATCCTTTCACTGTGACGTTACAAAATTAAATACAGACTGCTAAACTGGCTGCCTTGCGTGTTTGTCGTTACAAAGAATATTCACATCAGAATTTTGAGTACATACAGTTATTTCTCGTTGTTTGTTATGGGTTTTTCACAAAGTGACGTCGGAACTATTATATTATACGAACAATTTGTTTATAAAGGTTTGGCGAAGATTAAAAAATTACTGTTAACCTTAAATTGGATCTAAACATTTGAATAAAAATCCAACTTTTATTTGAGCACTTGCTTTGTGGCTGCTAGGATGGTGTACCAAGTTATGCTGAATCTGCATGTTCATCAATATGGCGGCCAAAAACCAAGTGCTGAAATATAGCCAAATTTTAATTAACCCAACTGCTTAGATTCTTGTTAGGTTGGACTAGACGAAGCATTACATGGATAGAAGTATTTTTCAGAAACTTCAATTTCAAAACTCCATGCGTCATGCGAACATAATTGAGTAAACTTGAAATTTTTGTTAAAAACTCAATTTTTGACCAATATGGCCTTTTTGATAGCGTCACAAAGGACAGTGGAACATTTCAATCACTGCATTATGACTGAACATGATTATCTAATTACTATTTTGAGTTTTATTCAATTAAATTTATCATTTCTTTTCTAGTATGGTATCATGATTTGCGATGACTGTAGAACGACCATTGCAGACAAAAAGGACTTGTTTAGGTTGCTATTCTATACTAATGTATTTTTAGTTGCGATCTGAAACGACATCAATGGTAATATGTAACCAATACGTGTTTTTTTCGCAGCATGTCTTTGACTGGTTTAATGGGAGCATATGTCAATCCAGGAGGATACGTTCACGAAACTGTTACTTTTCACAAAGCTAAAGGGCTTCGTTTACGTGGCCCACCATCCACAGAACACAGCTGGTTTCCAGGGTACGTTTTTCAAAAGGAAGAATATTACCTCTATACTCTGATTGCATGCGAATTAAATCCAATAAATCGTAAAGTTTTATTCCTATTGCGTGCTTGAAAACTATATAAGTTCATTGAAATTCAAAACTTTAAAACCAAGGGTGGGTTGACTACAAAATTTTTGTAGTTCGCTATAACTACAGCTACTTCAAAAATATGTAGTCAGCTACAATTACTGCTACTTTTGAACAAAGGTAGTTCGCTACTGACTACAGCTACTGCTTAAAAAATGTAGCGAACTATTTCGCTATTTCGCTACGCTATATTTTTAGTTTTACTGTATTTGGAGCATCTACTAACTTAGGCTAAAATGTAACCTATAACAAATCGACTTACGAGTAGCAACAGTAAACACAAAGCGTGCAAATTGACTATTGAGTATTGATTTTAAGCAAACCATGTCTCAATATCATGCTATTCTATCAAGTTGCTAACAATTTTAAAAAGTAGCGAATAGCGATTCGCTGTTTGAAAAGTAGTCAACTACTTGGCTACTTTTAGGCAAAATGTAGTCGCTATAACTACAGCTACTGTTTTAAAAAAGTAGTCAAAAACTACTGGCTATACTTGAAAATTGTAGTTCGCTACAGTAGCGAACTACAACTACTACGCTACTACCCACCCTTGTCTAAAACACGTACGCGAACACAAGCTTAATTCAATAAAACATATAATAGTTTTGTTTGTGGAAACACCACGTAAATTTATTACTGCAGTAATAAATTTACGTGGTGTTTCCACAAACAAAACTATTATATATTTAATTTGTTCATGTATGTTTTTCTCTGTAGTTATGCCTGGACGATAGCAGAGTGTGAACATTGTGGAAATCACATGGGTTGGAAATTCACAGCAGTGAACAAGAAGTTAGTGCCACACAAGTTCTGGGGATTAACAAGAGCTTCTTTGCGACCTTCACTCAAGCAGGACGAAGATGAAACGTTATACGTAGAGAAATGAATCGAAGCATTTCAATATTTTAACCCAGGTGGTCTCTTTGGGAGACATTCCCACCCCTGGTTTTAGAAAGCTTATGAAGACAGCCGACGGACAAAATGTTCCACTATAAAAGCACGATAGTCTATCGCGATGCTCTAGCAAGTTTGAGCCATTAAATTTGGCGGACAGCTTGAACGTGTTACTTACAGTATAGACCAGAATAAAATAATTTTGAAGTTTTAAATCTTCATGGGATGAGGCGCTGTAATACAGCCTAAAGAAATCATAGAAGCATAACTGGTGTGTTCTCTAACGCTTATAAGCTTATAACTTAACATTTTCACCACCCGGGCACGTTATAACTGCTAGAAATTCTTGATCTGAACAAAATAAAATATAGTTGCTGCTAGAGCTTACTGACCATATAAGTGATATAACTGCATGTAAATGAGATGAATGAACACGGAATTACGAAGATTATAATCTGTACAGGTCTTGTGGGATGATATATAATATCTGTATCTGTACAAATAGACTATATGTAATATATAGAAATATTGAAATTGCTAGCGCTCGCAATATATAAAATGTGTAACTACATCGACTGTCTATTCAATTGTTTTAGGTATACAGATGTAAGGGACCGTTTATCTGTGGGAGCTGGTCGGATTAGGGGGTGGGCCACGTAATTTGAGTCATTGCATTCAGCTATCTCTTAGGTGCTGTTTATATGATCTCGGGTACTAGGGACACCCTAATAATGTTAACAAATTGCGATTGTGCCACCCCAGCATGGTGGGTACGTTTTCGGTGAGAAGAGAGTTAAAAGGTGGAAATGTGGTAAAAAGCACTGATGGGTAAAGGTCCACGTGATAAAATGATTGCAAAATTAAAAGTATGACTGTCGTTTCAAAACTACAGTAATTACCCCGAATTTAAGCGAGTTCTCGAGGTTGCTCCATTTGCTGTTCTCGGTGCTCTGGATTTTCGGAACACTGAACAATGGAACAGAACACAATCACGTGACTAGCCGGAACTGTTCTGAACCCCAATTTTAGATGGCGTCGCCTGTTTTCATTGCAGTTGCTCCCTGTGTGCAGGGCCGTAGCCAGACGCGATAATT